GCGGCCACAAACGTTTGATCGGCTATAATTTTCTCAGTGTCGAAGTTAAATCTTTTTTACTTCATTCTGTATAAGCGGCGAAGTTATCTCGGAATATCGTGATTGGCTGTACTTTTCTGGCAGATATCACAAAAAAATCTTCCGATGTTTGCTGGAATTGCTTTTAAAGCACTTACCAATAAAGGAAGCTGCAAAGCGTCTTGCCAACGAGTGGTTGCAATTGGCAAAATGCTATAGTGAAACAACTTCAGGAACTACTGTCAAATGTAGGAAATGAAAAATGAGTGGGAGGGTTCGCTTTGGAATTTTTAATTTAGTTATTCTGTTTTGCCTTCCTGAGTTCCGATTATAACCCACTTCTCGTTTTATGAATTCCCACCGTAAATTAAGCCCACACAGCCGAGCTTAACTTATTTTCCATTGCCCCACTCTAGTACCTCTCACTGTCTGGGAATCTGGATTCATAAATGTTGGTGCTTTGCAGCTACTGCTTGCTTGTGGTATAATCGATGTGGGAATGTTCATGGTGACACGTTTGTCACACGTTGCTCATGTGTGGCCGGATACCTATGAAAAGCTGACGATCAGCGACAACATATTCTTCCGAAATCAAGTAAGCCTTCTCCTGAATCTTGAGAAAGCATTGCAAAATAATCAACAATGAGTGACATTGTCATGCAAACCATCGTTGTTGTCGCTTTGAAAAAATTTCATCATTCGCAAAAATCATTGTTCGCACATCTCTGACTATTTAATACTCGAACTGTCCAATTCTGGTATAAATTCCTACGACCACATGCGGACAAGTACGGTTCTCCCAAAATTTCTGCTTCCTAGCTTCTTTGAGATATAAAGCCAGCCTAAACAATTGAATTTCATATTAATAATTGCTCCGAAACGTTAGGTGCAGCGTCCTTCGATCCGAAGCTGCATACTTCCAGTTCTGTGTGGTGAAGGATTTTAAGAACGATCTGCAAGCAGCTTCAGCTTAACACATAATAGCAAGTTGTAACTCATATCACACTTGTAACTCCTTTTATGCGAAAAAGTCGTCAGCAAAGACATCTCTGTAGATTTTTTTGGTGCTTTTCGCGACTCGGCACTGTTAAAAACTCTTACAACTTACCAACTCCTGACATGTGTTATATGAAGAGCACCGTTAAGATGAAGCATGCATCAAGTGGAAATACTTTTTCCAGCTGAGTAGGAAGGTAATAAGCACGTTTATGGAGACCACCAATAGACTTTGGATGCTTATAGAGTAGGTTTAATGGCGTGAAATCTGTTTTCTAACCTTCATGTTTCTTGACCTATGGCCGCACTTCCACATAAAGTTATAGAAGCAACCGCATTTAATGAATAAGTTCATGGATCCGAATTTTTCCTTCTACCTTTTATACGTAAGTCAGACTAAGAATCATTCTAAGGCGCTTCAGAAGGCGTTAAGCTCGTTCAACAACAGACCACTTGGATCAACATGTAGCAAAAAAGTACGGCATTCTCCAGTTTTCAAACACGCCAAGCTGCAGATGAGCAGTGCGAGCAAAGCGAATTTTTGCATAATAATGGGAGAAAAACGTTTTTTTTTTTTATAGATTATATCAGTCCGGAGACTGTATGCACCAGTGGCAATCGCTATTGGCCTAATGATATTGTTTCCGAAATTAATACTCCTGCTCCGAATATTCTTTGCGAAAGTATCGTTCTGGAGGGCAGCAACCGCTGATATGCTTATCGGATTGGTCACAATGTTTTATACTTCCATCACTGGTTTGTTTCTAAATTTTACACATTTTATCAGGATTTGAAAAACGCACTGTGTTGGGGCCTCCTATTTGCATATTACTTAAATATGTCAAGAACCGCTCCGGGG